TAATGATAATGATAATGATAATGATAATAATAATAATAATAATAATAATAATAATAATAATAATAATAATAATAATAATTTTTCTTTTTCTTCTCCCACAGCCCTTCAACTTCTTTGTCATCAACCTGACAGCCAGGGACATGATGGACTTCCTCGGGCAGCAGCAGGGACGGGGAGCGTTTGTGCCAGCACAAAGGAGGAACTTTGCTGAAGCAGACAGGAGACTGCATCTCCCTCCTGTCCCTCCTCTCCCTCTCCCTCCTCCCCCTGCTGCTGCTGCTCCTCAAGCCGGCCAGTCAGTGTTCAAGCGTATGTGGGTGTGTGTATCTTCGTTTGTTCGTTCTGTCTTGAACTTTTTTAGGTAATTATGATGGTGTGTGTGTGTGTGTGTGTGTGTGTGTGTGTGTGTGTGTGTGTGTGTGTGTTACTAGTTACATGAAACGATTTATTTGGTGTGTGTTACTAGAGTTACATGAAGCGATGTAGTTGTTACTTGTTACATGAAACGGTGAAGCTGTTACTACAGTTACTGTTACTAACTACAGTTATTGTTACTAGTTACATGAAACGCCGTAGAGCTGCTACTAGAGTTACATGAAACGCCGTAGCTGTTACTACAGTTACTGTTACTACAGTTACTGTTACTACAGTTACTGTTACTAGTTACATGAAACGATGTAGCTGTTACTAGATATACATGAAACGCCGTGGCTGTTACTAGAGTTAAATGAAACGCCGTAGTTGTTACTAGACTTACTGTTACTACAGTTACATGAAACGCCGTAGTTGTTACTAGAGTTACTGTTACTAGAGTTACATGAAACGCCGTGGCTGTTACAACAGTAACTGTTACTAGAATTACTGTTACTGGAGTTACATGAAATGCCGTAGCTAGCAAGGTTTAGAGCAAGGGTGTAGAGGTTCTATGTATGGGACTCTACTATGTACTCTTGGCTCTCTTCATTTGCCGGCCCATAGATCGCAGCTGCAGAGAAACTTGTGGGGTGTCGCAGTCAGACACGCGAGAGATGTGAGTTATAATCTGTAGTGGTGCAAGGAGAGGTTTTGTGGGGGAACTCCACGTCGTCTTCCGGATGATATGTTGGTTGTGGGTGG